GAGAAGATTCTGGGACCTTGGCCGACGGTTTCGCATACGCGCAAGGCCACGAAAGCCCTCTTGTACTTCTTAAGGACCACCAGACTTCTAGACCGCTTGTGAAAGAACAGTGTGATACCATGCTGTGTCGTCTCGAGCTGACTATTCAACCTTCTCTTTCTTACTCCTATTCTTTTCTATCTCTTTCCTTTCTAAAATTCTTCAGTTCCCCCACCCCAAGTGTAGGGTAGCCGACTGAGCCATGCTTGGTTCACCTCCCTGCCTTTCTTCTCCCCCTCTCTCTTTCTCTCTCTCTCTTTATATATATATATATATATATATATATATATATATATATATATATATATATATATATATATATATATATATATCACGGAGGATCTACTAGACTATATATATATATATATATCTTTGATTCACTTGGTTTGGTCGCAAAGGTAGGGGCAATACTTATAGCACTCTTCGTGCACAAAGACTGCTATTGTAAGCTATTATTTAGAAGCTGTACTAAGTATATAACCTATCTTGTCTCAAAAATATTTTCAGCAGCGAAACTGGCAGCACGAGGCATATATCTAGTTCCTTAAAAAGAGTTCACACTGGGATGCGATAAATACCGCAACTGGTACCTGCTTTCCTCTTAGTTTTTTTGTCGCGCTTGTTGGTGCTGTTGTTCTTTCCAACTTGGCGTTATTCACAGCCTAAAGTAACGCCTACTCGGCCTTCGAAGCGCCAAATTACTGCTGCTGCACTGGTTGGAGTGTGGCTTGTTATAAACGAGCTGCAAGAAAAAAAAAACGTGTTTGTTGCAACGTCAATTGTACGTGTTTTAAGAAAGTAGCCAACGGAGCCATTGCGCATGAGCAGTGCCGCACGTTTAGCGGACAAGCATACCACCTGAATCACACAAAATGTTCATTTCGAAAGGAAACGTCTATCTCGCGTTCATGCTTCCTTTTTCAACTCACACTAACGCTGCGTTTTCACTTGTTTTGAACGCGAATGCATTTCTTGATCGGTCTATGTCAGGCGTCCGTCGGGATCCGTCTATCGCCCTCTCCCATAGCAACAGCAGTAAGCGCATGCGACCCTGGCTACTGGAGACCCCCCCCCCCCCTCCCCATGTCACGCTTCGGCGTCGGCAGCTGTCAGCAATAGCTGCGGGCGCGCGCGCTTATCCTCGCCCCTAGCGACCGGAGCCGCCACCTCCTTGACTTTAACGTGTCTTGCCACCTCCTCAAAGACATTGCAACAGAAGGCGACAAAACCTCTGTTGAAATTCCTACGCGACACGGAACAAGTGGCTGTAACTGCAATGTCCCACACCGCGAAACACAAGACTGGACTATGAGTGTGCGCGCTTGTGCTGCCGAATGTGCTGTATTTATTTCTCTTCCCTCTCTGCTCTCTATCTTCCTTCTCCCCCTCCCCGTCCCACGATCAGGGTAGCAAACCAGCTGCCTATAGGCTGCTTAACCTCGCTGCCATTCTTTTTCTCCTATTTGCCTTCCTTCCGCCTCAACGCAGTGCACTTGAAACGCGTTTGTGCTAGCAGCGTTTGCGTAGCGTTTTAAGAGAGAGAGAGAGAGTGAGAATTTATTAGAAGGCAGAGAGGTCGGCCTGAGCTAGTTCGCTCTAGCCTGCTACTCTACAGAGGGGATAAAGAAAAGGGGAAGGAAAGAGGGATGAAGAGTGATGATGGGACAAGAAGAGGTGGTGCGTATGTACAGTAGCCACTTAGCATAGTACCCTACAGTCTAGTTTCTAGTCCAGTGCTTTTTATAAAGTCTAGAACAGCCTTTGTAGCAGTTTTTGACACTGTTTGGTCGTTCATTGCTGACAATATGTGGCTTTCACTTAATGGTGTTCGTCCAATGCTTGCCAACGTTGCAGTTAGCGTTTTTCTTTGCGCCACGTATAATGCACAGTCACAAAATATGTGAGCTAGTCGTTTCGCGCACTTGGCAGCGTTCACAATTCGGGCTGTCCGCACGGCCGAATTAGGTGGGTGTAGTGGCGAGTGAAGGCGACGCCCAGGCGAATTCGGTGCAGTATATTAGCATGTCTTCGGCTGATTTTATCTGGAAGACGAAAAGTCATACCGGGGTCTGTTTCCCGCAGGCGCTTGTTCCGGTGATCTGGTAGCGACCAGTAAGTGGCAGCGCATTTGCGCATGAGTGATCTCAACATTGTGTTGACGTCACTTCGCGAGTACGGTACTTTGACTTGCATAGGAGCGTTGTATATTGCCGCTCTTGCTTCGCTATCGGCTGTTTCGTTGCCAACCAGGCCGCAGTGTCCAGGAATCCATTGGAGTGTAATCAAGTGACCGCTCCTGTGTGTTAGGTCAAATGCTTGGACGATTCCTAACGCTAACTCGTAAAATTGGCCTCTTCTTGAGCAAGAATGGATAGCTTGAAGCACTGATTTTGAATCAGACAGAATCGTCCATTTACGCGGTGCTTGGTTGTTCACAAATTTTACGGACTTCTTGTATAGCAACAAGTTCTGCAGCTGTCGAAGATGACCTATGATCTAATTTGTACTGTCGGGAAATACTGAGTTGAGGGATCACGAAGGCTGCAGCTGAGGCGAATGTAGTTACGGATCCATCGGTGTAAATGTGCACAGAGTCGCTGTATCGGTCATCTAAATGTGCCAAGGTGAGTTGCTTGAAGGGCAACATACGAAACACGCGACTTATACGAAATTTCAAGTATGTGAAGGCACACCAGCTGTTTAGTCAATGTCCATGGAGGCACTGCCGGTGTCCGTAACTACTATCACATAGGAATCAGAAAAAGAATCTAAGTAAATAAAACACACTAAAATGCAATGGTATTCGAACACGGGTCTCCCGCTTGCCAGCTTAGTATCTACCACAGAGCCACGCCAGTGTATGAAACTCCATTGCAAACTGGCCTTAAGCAGGATTGATGTCGGCAAAGGAATCGTGTTAATAAGCGTATTAAGCAGCAGAGGAACAACCACGCACCGCAGACTATGAATTTCGTAACGAGTGCATGGGTCACCGGATGCTCCAGTTCATTACAAAAGCTTGTTCTTGTTCACCTATAGGCACCCGGCAATGCAGTTTACGAGATCTGATGGTAGCGATAGAACACATAGCCTAGCGATTGGGCGCAGGAAAACCGAGTCTTCCAATGCGTAGCCTAGCGAGTAGACGCAGCAAAACCGGACTTCCGCGTGCGTATCATTTTCTTTTTCAGTTGCGAGCAGGGGGTACACGGCTGATTATGTAAGCGCCTAGAAAGCCTTTTTTGAGAACGTGCCAAAAAAAAGGGCACTGACACTTCAGCGTGTCACTGCGTGCGGCGAGCGTTTTCCTGGCGGTCGGTTTCCTGGCGGACCAGAGGCGGTCCAAGAAGCTTCGTGGCGCCCTCTGGTCCACTGTCTGGTCCCTATTGACTGTGGCGCATCGGTCAAGAGTTAGAAACGCTTCCGGCATAATTCTACAACTTCGTCTGCCACAGCATGAAAAAAAAATTGCACGAAATGCTTTGCAAATATGCAGTGGTGACCACGCTTCTCCAAAGAATGATTGAAAGGTGGCATAGTGACTGCCTCACTGCTACACAAACGTAATGATGGTTTGTGGCGTACTGTGTACCCTGCAAGTCTCCTTGTAGCAATATCCAAAGAGCGTTTAACAAAGGCTCTAAAATGCCGCTCTCCTAGCTTTCGCTGTGACTCTGTTGCACATTTCACGCAGGCCCTGGACTTTATCTTCAAGAAATAATAAAACAAAATTGGTGAGTGGAAGGTGCAACGTTTCCCGATGTCCATGTGTGAGACGTGTTTTTCCGACAAAGCAAATGGGGATATTTCTTCCCGAGACGTTTATTTGGGGACGAATTCAATGGGAACGTGTTTTCCGGAACCCGTACTTGGCAATCGGCATTGTAACATAACTTGAAACGGCCATTGTTGCGCGCACAGTCGTTCGTTTTCTTACTGCAGGGTTGAGATCGAGAGCCGAGGCGGAACTTTGGAGAAGGCGATGTATACGAATCCTGATTGCACCATCGCGTTCCACTCTTGAAGGAAAATCTGAAGCATCCTCCAAGATTTGTGTTGAACGTACCGTCATGTAATAAGCCGTACGTGTCATTCTGAAGTGACGCTGCTTGCGCACACTTCGTAGTAGAGTGTGAAAACGTTTTCTTTGTGTATTTGTTTCTTAAGGCCGTGCTCTGGCACCTAGTTCATTTGCGGAATGATATTAAAAAATCTGGCAACCTTCGAAGTGGACTTTAGAGCGTTCCAGTTTGTCCGCGCACTTTTTTGCCTTAGCGTTACACCGGATACCATTGCCGTAAACATGGAAGGCACTGAAGATCGGGCCGAGATATACCCACTTATGGGGTCGAGATGCAGAAGACACGCATATAGTCAATTTTCAAATATAATGCTTCTTTTTAGACCATCCACGGTGGTCTAGTGGCTAAGGTATTCATTCGGCTGCTCACCCGCAAGTCGCGGGATCAAATCCCGGCTGCATTTCCTATGGAGGCGGAAATGTTTTTGGCCCCTGTGCTCAGATTTGGGTGCACGTTAAAGAACTCCAGGTAGACGAAATTCCCGGAGCCCTCCAATACGGCGTCTCTCATATTCATGTGGTGGTTTGGGGACGTTAAACCCCACATATCATTATCAATGCTTCTTTTTAGTGTACACGGATCCTGAGGTCACGGGTAAGCTGCATCGTTGCTATCACCACCTTATCAGTACTTGCTGTATCAGCGGGAACGAAATGCACACAGCGGAAGGAAAGTCCCTGAGATACGCTTCGATTTGATTGCTCAAGAAAGCGCACCCACCTTTCCTGTCGAAGAAGGCGAGCGGCGCTATGAGCCGAAGTGCAGACAGTCGATACCACGTGGCCGATCACGCGAATCTGTTGCGCAGTGACAACAGGACTGACGTCCTGTAACGATCCACGTTTCTGCATATTTCGAGGGCATTTGCGCGTGCTGACCATGAGTTGGGCCCGTCCGCCCGTCTATTTCCAGAGACATCCATTCTACGATGTCTTGGCCACACTTCTCCCGGCGACGCCCATCAAGTGCGACGGACGCTTGCGGCACGAACGTTCGCGGTTCAACCAGCGTTTTCAATTCCACTTCCTGGCGCGTCACATGAACGACATCCGCGCGTCATTGACGAGTAACACCGGGAAGGACTCGGAGCTCGAGGTGCAGGTTCTCGTCCGTCTATTCACGGACGAAGGGAGCGGCGCACTGGAGGACAACTACCCTGCCAATTTCAGTTTGAAGGTGAACAACCGGGCCTGCGCGTTGCCGCCATCGATTTCTGTACCCGCGCCCGGCGGTACGACATTGCGGGTGCGCCCACCCGTCAACATAGTGTCCAACTGCTTTCTGTATCCTCGCGTGAAGAACGACCTTTTGCTGGTTTGGCAGCCCGAAGCGGACCGCCAGTACTTCGTCGGCGTCTTCCTCGTTCGGAGGCAATCGACAGTCACGGCTCTTCGCAAGCTGCAGCAGAAAAGAGTGAAACGTGCGGCCCACACCAGCGCCCAGACCTTAGAGCTGATCAAAGCGCCGGAAAGAGCGAGCGGTGGCGACGACATCGAGGTGACGAGAGTCGCAGCTTCTCTCACTTGCCCGCTCAGCAAGGTACGGATGAGAGTCCCATGCCGCGCGCTCGGATGCAGGCACATTCAGTGCTTCGACGCGCACAGCTACTTGCAGAGCAACGAGACGCGGCCCACGTGGATGTGCCCCGTGTGTGGTGGGCGGGCCGCGTTTTCTTCGTTGGTCGTCGACCAACTTTTCGTGCACATTATTGAGAAAGCGCCGGCTGACTGCGACAGCGTCGTTATCCGCAAGGACGGCTTCTGGTACCCGTCGCGAAAAGATGACTGTCCTACGTGGCGAAGCCTCGTCATCTGCTAGAAGCTGGGAGTGCCGGTCCTTCGTCCTTCTCGTCTAACGAGCCGAACGAGTGGCCGAACAAGCGGCGTAAAATTTAGCGTGCTGACATCATGTGTGGATGGTATCGACCCTACCGAGCACGGTGGTGATGATGCGAAGAGCCATGGAGCTGGCGTTGCTCTTCGACCCGAGCCCTGGAGTACTGGACATGACCCTGGTGCAAATTTTGATACCTACCCACCTCTAGACGTCCCTAGCTTGCGAATGTGTTGAAGTCGCAAATAGGGATTGATTTGAACTCCACAAAATATGTATACATAAATATATATTCTGAACGGTGCCAGCTGCGTCTACTGCCTTGCTTGGAGTTCTTTTGCAAACTTCCAGCGTACCTCTTCTGAACTCGTGCAGCTGCAACAGGCGCCATTTCGGTTGTGTGGAAATAACCACCAACATTCCTTTGTTATATAATGGTTTGTGTTGTGCCGTAAGGATGAAAACAAAATAAATGGCCCTATTTGTGAGATTATTCTGAATAACATCATTATCGTCAACAAACAAGGTAGAAACCTGATAACGAACTGAATATGTGTCACGTTATTCTGGTTTCTCCTGCAGCAAGACAGCCTGTTCATGCTACCCTTTCACTCTCAGCCCCACCCTCTATTTAACGCTTTTTCCTTCACTTTTGTTTAAAATGTTGACACTGACTTTAGTTCTCAGACAGCTGGCGACGTGTGCCGGAGTATATGCTCTTGTATTGTGAAATCTCAAAAAATAAACGACGGCTTTTACTGCCTTCTCGTAGTCGTTCATGTCAAAACCTTATTCAGGAGGCGAAATGCACCGGCCGGTTGGACTGTGTTTAACAGCTGTTTGCTTACGCGCGCTGCTTGCCACAGGAGCGGGTTCGCGTCTTATCTATGCCACAACTTCCGTACATGCGTAATAAAGTCGACAGCGTCTGAACGACATATCGAAAACTGTTGGTCTCGTATTGGAATCTATTTTGATGCACTGAATGCGCGCATACGACTTGTGCTATCAGTACCGCGCTTGTCATACGCGGGTTTCTTATGGCGATCCTCCCAAAACCGGGTCTCGGACACGGCTGCCCTTGATGAACGCAATACGGCAGAAGCCCGTGATCTTAGAATTAGGTGCACATTAAGGAACTTCACGTGCTCGAAACAATCAGGGGCCCTCCACTTCGGTACCTCTCGCATTCATATCGTGTTCTTCGGGCGCAAAATGTGAACAATTATTCAAAGAAGTACGACTGCTTTCTGCGCAGACAGAGTAGCATAAGTTGCAGATAAGATGATTGATTGATCGATTTGTGGGGTTTAATGTCCCAAAACCTCTATTTGATTATGAGGGACGCCGTAGTGGAGGGCTGCGGAATTTTTGACCACCTGGGGTTCTTTAAGTTGTAGATAAGAACTAAAAAAAGAACAGACACGGGTTGACAAGTAAGAAGACGCTCCAAGATAAGTCATCTAGGACTGAATTTTGTGAAATGATATCATTTGATTTAGAAAAAAAGAGCTAATAAACGAATTGCTTCAAGATCTCTCATCGTCCAAGGCTTTCGACACGGCAAAATATTTCCGTGACTTGCACTGAATTTCACAATGCTGGCGCAGAGCGGAACTGGTCCGCTGGTCGTGGCTTGACTATGCCCAGGTTCGTACACACGAACATGCATGAAGTGTTCACGTGATCGCATTGCGATTCACGAGTTGATTGATATGTGGGGTTTAACGTCCCAAAACCACCATATGGTTATGAGAGACGCCGTAGTGGAGGGCTCCAGAAATTTCGACCACCTGGGGTTCTTTAACGTGCACCCAAATCTGAGCACACGGGCCTACAACATTTCCGCCTCCATCGGAAATGCAGCCGCCGCAGCCGGGATTCGAACCCGCGACCTGCGGGTCAGCAGACGAGTACCTTAGCCACTAGACCACCGCGGCGGGGCTGCGATTCACGAGTGTTGGCTCGGTATTGTTAAAACCAGCCTTTGCACGCAGTGGAGATCAAGTTTTTTCTCTTTCCCTTAACACGAAATCTACTCTTTCGAAACTTCGTGCATGTTGTATTGGCAAACCATAGAATGCAACAATATATAAGACATATTTTTACTTGGACCGATAATTTGCGAATATTAGGCCACAATATGAGTCGAAGTGTTATAGCTTTCTAACCTAGACACAATATTCTGACAATATTTGTGACTTATGCACCTCCAGTGCTGTTTATTATTATAATATAGAAAGACATACCACAGAAAGTGTAAATACACTATAGGCAAAAAATTTTGCTTTTCTTAAAAAAAAAAACCAAAACGAGCAGCATAGTACAGTTTTTTTTGACAACGCGAAAAATAATGAAAGATGAAACGAAATCGAATGAACTATCATAGTGATGAAAATGTGGATAAACAAAATATTTGTTTCGTGGTAATTTCTCAAACTGGTATGTCGATATAAATTATTTGGTGCGAATAAACTTCACTTGAGTGTTCGAAATTTGAAGCACTCTCTAGGCAACACAAAATTCGTTTGATAAATATATCGCCTTCGCAAATTCACGTACACCTGCTCGTTTTTTTTCAGCATGATCATTGTATATATATATATATATATATATATATATATATATATATATATCGGAAAGAAGCCTATGTCCGAGGGCTCGTTTTTCTGAGTTTTGACACAATACTAATGAGATCTGACACACAATAGTGCCAAGGAATGTATAGGGGAAGTTACCAGAATCAATGTAATGTAAATAAGAAGAAAGAAAAGTGGGTGAAAAAATAACTTGCCGTGAGCAGGACAAGTTATTCTGCTCCCGGCAAGTTATGATTTCACCCACTTTACTTTCTTCGTATTTATATTACATTGGTTCTCATTACTTACCCTATACATTCCTTGTCAACATTGTCTGTTAGATCTCATTATTTATATATATATATATATATATATATATATATATATATATATATATATATATATATATATATATATATATATATATATATATATATATATATATATATATATATATATATATGAGATCTAACAGACAGAAATGCCAAGGAATATACAGGGGAAGTTATTAGAACCAATGGAATGTAAATAAGAAGAAAGAAAAGTGGGTGAAAAAACAACCATCCGAGAGCATCGAAGGTCGTAGGTTCGTTTCCTGCTCACAGCTGGTTATTTTTTCACCCACTTTTCTTTCTTCTTATTTACATTCCATTGGTTCTAATAACTTCACGTGTACAATCCTTGGCATTACTGTTTGTTAGATCTCATTAATCTTGTGTCGAAACACGGAAAAACGAGCCCTTAGGTATACACTTCCTTCCCTTATATATATATATATATATATGTATATATATATATATATACTGCGCGCCCAGTCTACAGGGAAGCTGTCGATCACATGAAATAGTTGTGCACCGCGTGAACCTGAATGGTTAGAACCTGCATAGCGAGAGTATCAAGACGAGGCCAAGGCGGAGAGAGGGGGGGGGGGGGCAATAGCTCTTCCAGTAACATGGACTCTCCCTCCCTCCACCACTTAAGTCGTCGTTCGACGCAGTGATCATCGCAATCAAGTCTTCACCCGCCACCGCCCCAAAACCTCGTTAGCCTGTTTGTCTTTTCGTCCTCCTTCCCGCCAGGCTGTGGCGTCATCGTTCGTGCCACCAGGAGGTGGTGAGCCATGATCGACCGCCAGGTAGGGTGCAGTGCATCTTCGACTTTCCATCGGCGGCAAGTGTTCAGCCTTCGTCGCCTTTCCTGCGACCGCCAACTCCAAGAACCCTTCGAAGGGACCAATTATAAATAAGAAGGGGGACGTGCCATGAGGACAGACGTGCGGAATACACTTAAAAGGACTGCCGCCAGGTGGCGCAACATGAGATGGAATTTACACTCTTGCTACACCATACCACGTGCCGCCGCTCTATACTATGCAATATAGCCGCATCCTCATGCGAGACGTTTCGCTAATGGGAAGGCGGTGCCCGACGCTTTGGCGACGATCGTCTGTGTGTACTCCCTGCGGTGGTCCATGATTTGTGGTGGTGGTTTCCGGTGGAGACAGGCTGGAGGAAGATGAACCGGTGCGGAGTCTTACTTTTCGCTCCGCACCCTTCACAGTTCTTAATAGAGTTTTCTGCATGCTTTCTATTTGTTTTTTCTCTTTCGTTGAACGAAGAAGCTGGAATCTGCAGTCTGTATGCATATAAACCCTACACATTAACTACATCACCGGTATTAAGCAGCCTAAACAGGGTTTAAAATTATTCCACGGCAAAAAAATAATGACATTTTTATGATGAGTGTTCTTGCGATATGTGTCTTGTAATCGGCGAAAAAAAAGCACGTGCGTAATAGATAGATAGATAGATAGATAAATAGATAGATAGATAGATAGATAGATAGATAGATAGATAGATAGATAGATAGATAGATAGATAGATAGATAGATAGATAGATAGATAGATAGATAGATAGATAGATAGACAGACAGACAGACAGACAGACAGACAGACAGACAGACAGACAGACAGACAGACAGACAGACAGACAGACAGACAGATAGATAGATAGATAGATATTTCTCAGCCACTAGCGAGAAGTAGAGACAGAGAAATAACTTTATTGACGACACAGTGAAGTCGTTGAACTTATCTTGGCGGTAGTTCGCCGCACGGTGAGGGCCAGCACATAGCTCAGCGTGACTTATTCGGCGCAGTTAAGCACGAGACAGACGTGCTTAACTGCATGCGAGATTTTCTTTCCTAGATTTTCTGTGCGATGAGGCATGCGGAGCGACGATGCGGCTGCCGGAGTGGTGACGTTTCACCTGATATTTTCGTTGCCGCATCAGACTGCCGCATGGCCGCAGCCAATGACACGCTGCTGGTGGCGCCATCTCCCTGTCGCCGCTCCCATCACCCCAGGTGCAGGCCAGTTCAGGCGAGTCGATGGAGACGAGCGAGC